GCAACCGTACTCATTTTATTTTCTCCTGTTATTAAATCCCTTTGCTGAAATCTTAACTGTTCCCAACCTTTAGGTCTGTTGTTTTATTTGCCTAATTTGTATGCTGTTTCCTTAAATTTAATATCTGTTCATTTCCCTTTCTCTGCTATGGTTTGACCATGTTTCCCATTTTGTTCTTATGCCAGAGATTGAGATGAATAATTTTCATATCTTGTCCAAGCCCTCTTACAATGTTTGCCATTAGCCATCTCCCATCATCTATTTAAAAGTGGATACACAATTTATCACAACTAGCTCACGCCTCATACCATTATATCTTCTTTCCATTAATTACAGGACCCTAGTCTCAGAAACAACAATATCACTCTCCATCTTAGTAAAGAATCCGATCCGATTGTGGTCACTCTTCCTTAAGGCCCCATGCTCAACTTGATTGACAATTATTCTTTTCTCGTTACCCAATACCAATCTGCTGCTTCAATGTATTGATTCACAAAATTGTACCATATAAACGCTAAGCATTCCTCCTCCACTATATCGCTACTGATATGACTTGCTCAAATTTATATGTAGGTTGAAGTCACCCATAACTTTATTCCTTGTAAATCCCATTCTACTGCCTTCCCCAATATTACTGCAATTTGGGGTCTATAAACAACACTAATATCATATTCTGTCTGTTGGTGTTTCTAAGCTCAACCTATACAGATTCCACCTCACCACACCCTGTATCCTGGCTCACATCATACGACTTTCCTGTTTTAATCAGCAGTTCTAGCCTAATTCTTTTCCTTTTTGCTTGCCCAACCTATCCTCCTTAGACAACCCACTTATTCCAGGTTTCAATCTCGTGAACTTTCTCTGAAACTCCGAATAATTGTACGGAAGACCAAAACCTGCTTGTGGTATTCAAGATTTGGTCTTTGTTGTTCACTGTACAATTGAAGCAGAACATCCTTCCATTGATGTTCAATTCCTGTCATATTAAAGAATGCAGCCTACTGGCTTTCTGGATTACAGAGATCTTGATCAATTGAGTCGATGGGCTGAGGAATGGCAGACTGAATTCTATTTAAAGAAATGTTTGTTTTACCTAAGTGTAATACTTCACAGGGGCAGGAATATACAATTAATGGTCTGGCTCTGGGTAGTGTTGTAGAACAGAGACCTAGGGTTTCAGGTACGTCATTCTTTGAAGTTTGCGTCACAGGTAGACAGAGTGGGAGACAGAAGACATTTAGTACACTTGTCTTCATTGCTCAGGCCTTGGAGTACAGGAGTTGGAACGTTAGGTTGAGGTTGTAAAGGATATTGGTGAGTCCTCTCCTGGAGTAGTGTGCCGTTTTGGTCGTACGCTTATAGGAAGAATATTATTCAGCTGGAGTGGGTTCAGAAAAACAATTACCAGCATATTGCTGGGAATGAAGGGTTTGAGTTATAAAAATAGGCTGAATACACTGGGACTTCTTTCACTGGAAGGTAGGAGTTTGAGAGGTGACATTACAGAGATTTTTAAGATCGTGAGATGCATAGATAAGGTTAGTAGCAAAGTTCATTTCCCTCAAGTGGGGTAGCTCCAAACCAGGGGGCATATTTGTAAGGTGAGAGGAGAAAGATTTTAAAAAAGGCACGAAGGGCAATATTTTTCCTCACATGAGCGTGCTCAGTGTACGGAATGTACAACCAGAGGAAGTGGTGAATCCGGGTACTCAGTTACAATGTTTAAAAGACATTTAGATAAGTCCATGAATTCAAAAAGTTTAGAGCGACATGAGATAAACGCAGGAAGACAGGCTGAGCTTAGTTTGGGAACATGGTTGGCATGGACAAGTTGGAGCGAAGGGTCAGACAGCATGGAAAAAGACCCAATGATTAATGCCATATCTGCATCCTAACTTGCTAACTCATACTTTATAAACCCTAAATCCCTCTGCACCTCAGAATTCTGCTCTTACTTATTCTTCCTGCCAAAGTGAATGATGAGGCTGCAGACTTTCTCGCTAAGCTGGTATGTTTCACCTGAACATTGTCAACACGCCTCCAGTGAAGTGTTGGTGTTCTGTTCTGGTTATTTATTCTGTGCATGTTATTTATATGCCTTGGTTTGCTGGGCTGGTTGGCATCACATCTGGTGACAGCACACTGGCTTGGTGAGCAAGTCTACAACCTCATCACAACCCGAGCTACAAGTCTTCTCAAAAACTTTGAAGTGAATGATTTCACATTTTCTGACATTTTACACCACCTGCAAGATATTTTGCCCATACTAATGTTCCGGGTTTCAGAAGCTATCGAAAGGATAGAAAGGGAGGCGAAAGAGGAGAGGGAGTGGCGTTTTATTGAGGAAAACATTACTGCTGTAACTAGAAGAGATATTTCTGAAAAATCATCCAGTGAAAACATATGGGTTCAAATTAGAAATAAGCAAGGAATGATCATCTGATGGGATTGTACAATAGGCTTCCCAACAGTCAGAGGCAAATTGGGGAACAAATATGTAGAGAGATCCCAGATATATGTAAGAATAATAAGGTTGTAATAGTTGGTGATTTTAATTTTCCAAACATTGACTGGGACTGCCATAGTGTTGAAGGTTTGGATGGTGAATAATAATGTTAAATGTGTTCAAGAACATTTTCTTTATCTACAAGTCAATGCTCCTACTAAAGAAAGAGAAAAAAAAAAACTTGAGCTTCTCTTGGGTAATAGGGCAGAAGTGACAGTACGGAACAAGATAATAGACAATAATTCTATCCGTTTCAAAACAGTTATGGAAAAGGATAAGCCTTCCATGAAAGTTTTTAAATTGGAGTAAGGCAAATTTAAAGGTATGAGACAAGAACTTTCAGAAGTTCACTGGAGTAGACTGCAGGCAAAGGGACATCTGAGAAGTGGGAGGCTTTCAAAAACATGTGATTAACGAGAGTTCAGAATCATGGTGTTCCTGTTAGATTGAAAGGTAAGGCTGGTAGGATTAAAGAACAATGGATGAACAAGATATTCAGGTTTTAGTCAAAAATAAAAAAACCAAATTAGATATAAGCAACTGGGTTTAAATGAATCTCTGGACCAGTATAAGCAGTTTAGGGGCAGTCTTAAACGGGAGACCAGGAAGGCAAAGAGGGGATATGAAATGGCCTTGATAGACAATGTTAACGTTAATCCAAAGAGATTCTACAAGTGCACGAAGAGCAAGAGAGCAACTAGAGAGTGAGCAGGGCCCCGTAAAGTTGAATGTCAGGAGATGAGAAAGATATTGAAGGAATATTTTGCATCAGTTTTTATTGTGGAGAAAAAAAAGGAGGCGAGAAAACTCAGGGAAAGAAATACTGTTTTTTGAAAGCAGTTCACATGGACGTCTTCAAAAATATAAAGATGGATATCCTGTAGAGCCACAGGTGATGACGGAGATTTTTATGAATATTTCCCCTCAGTCATTACGAGGAGAGAATCGTGGCTGCTCAGGAATTAAGGGAAATATGGGAATGTTTTGGAATGCGTACATATTACCAGAGGGGTGGTGTTTGGGCCTTATGGCGCTTTAAGGTGTACAAATACCTGGGGCCCGATCAAGTCAATCCTCAGACATTGTGGGAGTCTAGGGAAGAAATTGCAGGGGGTCTGAGATTTTTGCTTCATTTTCAGCCACTGGTGAAGTTCAGTAAGATTGGAGGAGGGCAATGTTGTTCCATTGTTTAAAAAAAGGTAGCAAAGACAAGCCAGGGAACAACAGGCCAGTGAACCTGACATCAGTGGTAGGCAAGTTATTGGACAGGATACTGAGGGACAGGATCAACCTACATTTGGATAGTCAAGATCGGATTAGGGACAGTCAGTATGGAATTGTGCATGGGAGGTCACGTCTGACAAATCTTTCAGAGTTTTTCAAAGAGGTAACCAAGAGGATAAATGAGGTAGGGCAGTGGATGCTGTCGATATGGATTCTATTAAGGCCTTTGACAAGGTCGTACATGGCAGGCTAGTCAAGAAGGTTAGGTCGCATGAGATCCAGGGAAAGCTCGCTAATTGGATACAAAATTGGCTCGATGGTAGGAAGCAGAGGGTGATGGTTGAAGGTTGTTTCATGGATTGGAGGCCTGTGATGAGCAATGTGCCACTGGGGTCGGGGTTGGGACTGGGATCTTTGTTACGTACATAAGTGATCTGGATGTGAATGTACAATGCATGATTAGTAAGTTTGCAGATGATACAAGACTAGGAGGTATCGCTGACAGCAAGGAAAGTTATCAAAAATTACAGAGGGATCTAGATCAGATGGGGAAGTGGTTTGAGGATTGGCAAATGCAATTCAATACAGATAGGTATGAGGTGTTGCACTCTGGAAAATCAAATCAAGGTAGGGCTTATACAGTTCATGGTAAGGTCCTGAGGAGTGTTGTGGAAGAGAGGGACCTAGGACTACGAGTACATAGTTCATTGAAAGCAGCGTCACAGGTTGACAAGGTGGTGAAGAAGGCATTTAGCATGCTGGCCTTCATTGGTCAAGGCATTGAGCACAGAAGTTGGGACGTTGTCTTACAGTTGTATAAGTCGTGGGTGAGGCTGCACTTGGAGTATTGTGTACAGTTTTGGTCACCCTGTTATAGGAAAGACAAAGTTAAACTGGAACGTGTGCAAAGAAGATTTACGAGGCTGTTGCCAGGGCTAGTAGGCCTGAGTTAGAGAGATATGTTGGCCTGGATAGGACTTTATTCCTTGGAATGTAGGTGAATGAGGGGGTGACCTTATTGAGGTATATAAAATCATGAGGGGCACAGTTAGGATGAATGCATATCGTCTTTGTCCCAGGGTTGAGGAGTTAAAACTCAAAGTCATAGGTTTAAGGTGAGGGGGGAAAGATTTAAGGAGGACCTGAGGGGCAACTTCTTGCAGAGAGTGGTGGACGTATGGAATGGGCTGCCAGAACAAGTGGCTGAGGCAGTTACAATCACAAAATTTAAAAAACATTTGGATAGGTACACGGAAAGCAAGGGTTTAAGAGGGATATAGACCAAATATCCCTCTTGTTTGGGTAATTCGAACTAGCTGAGTGGGAACCATGGTCAGCACGGATCAGTTCGAGCTGAAGGGCCTGTTTCCATGCTATATTATTCTATGACTCTAAATCTCCAGGTCCTGCTCTAGTGCATTCCATCATATTGTGATAAGTTAAAGAGAAAACGTGGGGCACCTTGCAGAAATACTGTATCATCTATAACTACAGGTGACGTGCCAGATGACTGGAGAATGGCTCATGTTGTGCCTTTGCTTAAGGGATGTAAGGAGAAGCCTGGGAACTACAGACCTGCGAGTCTGACTTCGGTGGTGGGTAAGTAGTTGGAGGTAATTGTGAAAGATATGATTTACATAGACAGGCAAGGAACAATTGGGATAGTCAGCATGTTTTTATGCGGGGGAAATTGTATTTCAAACTTGATTGAGTTTTTTGAGGAAATAACAAAGAAGATTGTTGAAGGCAGAGCAGTAGACATTGTTTACTTGGACTTTAGTAAAGCCTTTGACAAGGTTCCACATGGTGGACGCATCAGTAAAGTTAGATCATATGGGATTCAGGGTGATTCAGGCTTGTCAATTGGACACAAAATTGCCTTAATGACAGGAGACAGGGACTGGTGGTGGCGGATTGCTTTTCAGACTGGAGGCCTGTTACCAGCAGTGTTCCACAGGGATTCGTGCTGGGTCCAATGCTGTTTGACCTTTTACGTAATGATTGAGATGAGAATATAGAAGGCATGGTTAGTAAGTTTGCACATGACACCAAAATAGGCAGCATAGTGGACAGTGAAGAAGCTGTCCAAGATTAGAAAGACATCTTGATCTATTGAGTCAATGGGCTGAGGAATAGCAGGTGGTGTTTAATTTAGGTAAGGGCAAGTTATTGCATTTTGGTAAAACAAACAAGAGCAGGACTTGCACAATAAAAAGTAGGGCCCTGGATAGTGTTGTAGAACAAGACACCTAGGGGTTCGGGTGCATCATTGCTTGATTTTTGCATTACATGTGGACAAGGTGGTTAAGAAGGTGTTTAGTCTGCTTACCTTCATTGCTCAGACGTTTGAGAGGAGTTGGGATGTTATGTTGAGCTTGTACAGAACGTCAGTGAGGCGCCTTCTAGGGTAATGTGTCCACTTCTGATCGCCTGTTATATGAAGGATATCATTAAGCTGGAAAGGGTTCAGAAAAGATTTACCAGGAATGGAGGTTGAGTTATAAGGACTAGCTGGATAGGTTGAGACTTTTTTCACTGGAGTCCAGAAATTGGAGGGGTGACTTACAGACATTTATATAATCATGAAGGGTAATAGATAAGGTGAATGGCAGGTGCCTTTTCTCTCGGGTGAGGGATTTCAAGACAAGGGGGCATATTTTTAAGGTGAGAGGAGGAAGATTGAAAAAAGACTCGAGGCAATTTTTTTTTTTTTTAAAAAACACAGAAGTGGTTCGTGTTTGTAATGAACTTCCTGAGGAAGTAGGGAATGTGGGCAAAATTACAACATTTAAAAGACATCTGGATAAGTACATGACTCGGAATCGTTTGGAGGGATATGGGCCAGGAGCAGGCAGGTGGGGCAAGTTTAACTTGGAATTATGCTTGGCATGGACTGGTCGGACCAAAGGTAGGGCTGGTACGATTAGAGAACAATAGATTAATAAAGATATTGAGGCGCTAGTCAAGAATGAAAAAGAACCATATTAGAGATAGACAACTAGGTTCAAATGAACTTCTTGAATAGTATAAAAAGTGTAGAGGATTTCTTAAGATGGAGATCAGAAAGGCAGAGAGGGCATGAGGTAACTTATCTGCCAAGGCTAAGGATAATCCAAAGAGATTCAACAAGTACATATCGAGCAAGAGAGCAACGAGAGAGAGTTGGGCACCTTAACGATCAAGGAGGATGTATTTGTGTTGAAACTCGGCAGATGGGAGAGATATAAAATAACTATTTCACATCAGTTTTGACTGTGGAGAAAGCTAGCCCAAACATTCACTCTCCATGTATGAAACTGGACAGTTCCTGTTGCTAAACTATTTGACCAAGGGCCAAAGAAATGGAAACTGGGTGATGCTTCTTGCAGCTGGATTGACGTTCTACTCTGTGTGGCTACATGCTACACTTACAGCATACATGTCACCAGGACTGGAGGGTTTGAGTTATGAGAGACTGGATAAGCTGGGACTTTTTGCACTCTAACATAGGAGGTTGAGGGGTGACTCTGTAGAGGTTTGAAAATTGAGGGGTAAACGACAAAGGTGAGCAGCAACGGTCTTTTCTCTTGGATAGAGTTTTCCAAAACTAGAGAGTACATTCTTAAGGAGGAGATTGATTTAAAGGGAAATAATAGGCAACATTTTCAGACAGAGGATAGTTTTTATATGGAATGAACCTCCAGAGGAAGTGGTAGATGCAGGTACACTTACACGATTTAAAAGACATTTGGATAGGTACACGAGTAGGAAAGGTTTACAGAGGTATGGATCAAATGCAAGTGGGACTAGTTCAATTTGAGAAACCTGGTCGACATGGACAAGTTGGACTGAAGGAGGCTAGAGAACTCAAGGAAATAAATATTGATGTTTTGAACAGTTTGCTTTGCAGGAGAGGAGGTGCTGAAGGTCTTAGAAAATATAAAAGGTGGATAATTCTCTGGTACCTGATCTAGTGTATCCCAGGGCATTGTGGAAAGTAAGGGAGGAAATTGCGGGGCTCCTCGCAGAAATATTTGTATCATCTATAAATATGGGTGAGGTGCCAGGTGACTGGAGAGTGGCTAAAGTTTTGCCTTTGTTTAAGAAGGGATGTAGGGAGAAGCCTAGGAATTATAGACCAACAAGTCTGACTTTGGCTGTGGGTAAGCTGTTGGAGGTGATACTGAAAGATAGCATTTGCGGAAGCAAGGAATGATTAGGGATAGTCAGCATGGTTTTGTGTGAGGGAAATCATGTCTCACAAATTTGATTGAGTTTTTTTGATGAAGGAACCAAGACCGATGAGCACAGAGCAGTAGACGTTGTTTACTTGGACTTTAGTAAAGCCCTTGACAAAATTCCGCATAGTAGACAAATTTGTAAAGTTAGCTCACATGGGATTCATAGTGAGCTTGCCAATTGGTTATTTAATTCACTTAATGACATGAGACAGGGTATGGTGGTGTAAGGATGTTATTCAACTGGAGACCTGTGACCAGCAGTGTTCCACAGAGATCGGTGATGGGTCCACTTGTGTTTGTCATTTATATCAATGATATAGATGAGAATATAGAAGGCATGGTTAGTAAGTTTGTTGATGACACCAAATGTTATGGTTTCATGGACAGGTTATCTATGATTACAAAGAGATGTTGATCAATTGGGTTTATGGGCTGAGAAATGACAGATGGAGTGCAAGCTATTGCATTTTAGGGCAGCATGGTGGCTCAGTGGTTAGCACTGCTGCCTCTCAGAGCCAGAGATCTGGGTTCGATTCCAGCCTCGGGCAACTGTCTGTGTACAATTTGCACATTCTCGATGTGGTTCCTTCCACGGTTCAAAGACGTGCAGTTTGGATGGATTGGCCCGTTAAATCATCCGTAGTATCCTGAGATGTACAGGTTATGTGGACGAGCCATGGGAAATGCAGGGTTTTTGGGACACAGCAGGTGAGAGAGTCTGGTGGATAACAAGGTGTAGGACTGGAATGACATAGCAGGCCAAGCAGCATCAGAGGGGCAGGAAAGCTGACATTTCGGGTCTGGACCCTTCTTCAGAAAATGAGAGTTTGGTGGGATGCTTTTCAGAGAGTTAGTGTGGACTTGTTGGGTCGAATGGCCCGTTTCCACACTATTGGGATTCTAATTCTAAACAAGGGGAGGGCAGGACTTACTCAGCCTTGGATAGTGCTGTAGAACAGAGACACTTTGGGTTTCAGTTACCTAATTCTTTGAAGTCTGCATTACACGTAGACATAAACATAGGCTCAGACCTTTCAGTACAGGAGTTGGGGCATCTTGTTGAAGTTGTACAAGATGGTGGTGAGGCTTCATCGAGAGTACTGTGTCCAGTTCTGGTCACCCTGCTAAAGGAAGGATATTAGTAAGCTGGAGACGGTTCAGAAGAGATTTACCAGGATGTTGCTGGGAAAAGTGAAATTGAGTTATGCGGAGAGGCTGAATAGGCTCGGACTTCTTTCTCAGGGCGCAAGAGGTTGAGGTTGAACTTGGAGGTTTATAAAAATCCTGAGGGGTGTCAAATGGCAGGTGTCCTTTCCCTTCGGTGGGGATTTCAAGACGAGGGGACATTTTTTAAAATCAAATTGAATTACCTTGATTGTCATACATACAAGTATAGTGAAAAGTTTACAAGTTGCCACTTACAGCACCATCTTAAGTACAAAGATACTCAGGTATAACACTACCCAAGGCCCTATCATTAACTGTACAAGTCCTGCCCTCAAGGGGTAGAAATAAGGTAAATACAGGTATCTTTTCCACAGGGTGGGAGATTTCAAAACTGGAGGGCATTTTTTTTTTAAGGCGAGGCGAGAAAAACAAAGACATGAAGGGCAACTTTTTTTGTTACACAGAGTGGCTCCTGTGTGGATGCGAATACAATTACAATTTTTAAAAGACATTTGGATAAGTACACGAATAAGATATGTTTAGAGGGATATGGGCTTAGCACAGGCAGGTGGGACTAGTTTAGTTTCACACATGGTCGGCATGGACTAGTTTCCATGCTGTATGACTCTATGACTATATGATAGAAACTTTCAGAATACTGAGAGGCCGAGACGGATGGATATGGAGAAAATGTTACAACTAGTAGGAGAGACTAGAACCCAAGGGGACCATCACACAGTACAGGGACAACCCTTTAGAACTGAGATGAGGAGGGGTTTCTTCAGCCAGAGACTGGTGATTTTGTAAAGCTCACTGCCGTAGAGGGCTGTGGAGTGTCTTTATGACAGAGATAGATAGGTTCTTCATTTGTGAGGGCATCAAGGGTACGGGAGAAAGCAGAAGGCAAGAGAATGGAGCTGAGAAACACGTCAGCCATGATCAAGTGGTGGAACAGAAACTATGGGCCAAATGACCTAATTCTGCTCCTGTATCTTGGTTATTGTGGGTGACTTCAATCTGCACATAGATTGAGCAAGTCAACTCAGTAACAATACCATAGAGAAATTCCAAAAAAAACATCTCATACACATTCGAGGATCAATACATTGAGGGCCCAAATGGAGATAGGCCATCTCGACTGCTTATTGTCGAATGGCTGGGAGTGGGTTAGCTCAGTTAACTGGATGGCTGATTTGCGATTCAGAGTGATGCCCACAGCATGTACTCAATTCACATACTGCCTGAGGTCACCATGAAGATCCCACATTCTTAACCTTGCCCGCCTGAGACATGTTGACCCTCACGTTAAGGCACATGAGCCTTCTCTCTCTCGGTCCCCAAGTGACATAGCAGTCCTAAGGTCTTCTGAGACTGTGGCAACTTTAATTTCAAAATATTAACTGTGTAATGTGAAGGGAATCATTAGCAATCTAGCCATGTGAGGCTGCTTGTGGGAGAAAGAAGAACTCAGTGATAAAACGCCTCATTAAGATGGAATGCGACAGAGTTGATTCTGAGACTAGGGGCCAAAATCTAAACAGAGGAAATTACGATGGTATGAGAAGTGATCATGCTACGATAAATTAGGGAATATAACTTTAAAGGAATAACAAACATTTAAAGAGCACTTGGAGGAACTACAACTGTTGTTCTTTCCTGTTAGACACAAAATGAAACAGGAAAGGTGGCCCTGCCATGGCTAACCAGGGACATTAGGGGTAGTACTGGATCCAAGGAAGAGGGGTACAAATTGGCTAAAAAGAACAGCAGATCTGAAGACTGGGAGCAGTTCATATTTCACCAAAACAGGACGAAGGGATTGGTTAAGAGGGGAAAAATAAAGAGTAAGAGTAAGTTTCTGGGGGATATACACACAAATTATACAAGTTCCTAAAGATATAATGAAGAGCAAAACAGATTAATGAAAACAAATCCCTTACAATCAGAAACAGGGGTAGTTATAAATGTGGAATAAAGAGACGGCAGACCAATTAACTACATATTTTGGTTCTGTCGTCACAAAGGATTACACCAATAATATCTCTAAAATGCTGGGGAACACATCGGAAGCAGGAACTGAAGGAAATCAGTATGAGTAGGAAAATGGTGTTGGGGGAATTGATGGGATTAAAAGCCAACAAATCCCAGCACCTAGTAATCTACAGCCAGAGGACTTAAACTGGCTTGAGAGATAACAAAAACAAATTGCTGGAAAAGCTCAGCAGGTCTGGCAGCATCTGGGAAGGAGAAAAACAGTTACTGTTTCGAACCAAAACGTTAACTCTGTTTTTACCTTCACAGATGCTACCAGACCTGCTGAGCTTTTCCAGCAACTTTGTTTTTAATCCTGATTTACAGCATCCGCAGTTCTTGCGGTTTTTATTTGGCCTGAGAAACCGATGTATTCTGAAAATAGGGGCTGGAGTCTAAATAGAGGAAATTGATGGTCATCTTTCAAGATGAACAATTCCTATGGATTGGAGGGTAGCTAAGGTAATGCTACTAGTTAAAAAAGAAGGTTGACAGAAAATATGGAATTATCGACCGGTTAGCCTAACACTGGAAAACTGTGACAGGATTGGACAGAGTTTGTCAGCATGGATTTACAAGAGGGAAATCACGCTGTACAAATCTGCTGGTATGTTTCAAGAATGCAACATTTAGAGTTGATAAGGAGGCAGTGGATGTCATTTACTTGGGATTTGAGAAGACGTTCAAAAGGTCCCACAGAAGAGATGAGCATGTAAAGTGAAAGCATTTAGGATTGTGTATTCACAGAGATACAGAGCTGGCTGGCAGGAAAGAAAGCGAGTCAGAATAAGCAGTCATTTTTTCATGTGTCAGCCAGTGACCAGTGCGGTACTGCAGGGATCAGTGCTGGAACCCAGATATTCATACTATCTAATGATGACTTAGATGAGGAAACTTAAATGTCATATCTATTAGCTTGTAGAAGACATGAAGCTGGGTGTGACAGTGAACTGTGAGGAGGATGCGGATATACTTCAGTATGACTTGATGTTGAGAGGGTGGGCAAAAATGCAAGGCTGACAAAGTATAACGTGGCTAAGTTAGAGGTTATCCAGTTGGATTATAAAACCAGGAAAACACAAGTTACTTACAGTAAGCATGCAGGTGCACCAGGAGGTGAAAAAGGCAAATGGTATTTTGACCTTCATAGCGAGAGGATTTGAGTACAGGAGCAGGGATGTCTTGCTGAAATTGTACATGATCTTAGTGAGGCCACACCTGGAGTATTGTGTGCACATTTGGAATCCTTATCTGATGGAGAATGTTTTGGCTATGGAGGCTGTACACAACAGTTCACCAGACTGATTCCTGGAATGGCAGGACCGACACACGAGGACAGAATGGATTGGTAAAGATGAACTTCACTGGAGTTTAGAAGAACGAGGAAAGATCTCACAGAAACCAGTGAAATTCTAATGGGACTAACCAGGTAAATGCAGGAAGGATGCTGTCAATGACCAAGGAGTCCAGAACCAGGGAGTCACAGATTAAGGACATGGGCTAGGCTGTTTATGACTGAGATGAGGAAACATTTCTTTTCACAGAGACTGGTGACCCCCTGAAATTCGAGCAGTTAAGGCCAAAACATTGAATGTTTCCAAGAAGAAGATATATGTATTTGCGAGGGCTAAAGGGATCAGGCTACTGAGTAAAATAATCAGCCATGACTGAAAGTTACATTGGCCTACACTGTTCCTATTTTCTATGTTTCTATTCTGTTGAAGGTGGGATATAAAAACAAGATGATTTTAACTGACACAGATATCAGCACTATCTGATCACCACTGAATGAAAATTCTGTAACTTCTTACCAGACAGCAATCTGGGAGCAACTTCAGCACTCCGAGTGCAACCATTCAAGAAGGTCAAGGTGCAGAGTGATTTTGGAAGCTTCTGGAGTGGCTGCTCTGTCTCTCCTTTTCTATCCAATTCTCAAATTGTTGAAGGTTCTCAGAAAAGCAACGTAATAATATGTAGGAAATATCTTTGGAAGTTTGCTGATACTGGGGAAAGAGGGGAGTGGGACCAGGGCTGGGGTAGGGAAAGACATATGGCTGGGGAAGGGAAGCAGTGAGAGAAACAGTGGGCTGGGTTTTGTGGTGGGGTGATGGGCGAAGAATAACCCCAATTTCCAAATCACGCACCACCCCCCCCACCCTGCTCGGTTCTCTCCCTCCACTCTCTGATCTTTCCCTCAGCCTCTTTCACATTGGCAGTAAGCACTGCGACAAAGATGTGCATGTGGACACTTTTCCCATCAAACTCAGTCACTAGCACAGGCACAAGCATCTGCCAACACCATACTGTGCATACTCCTCAGTTAACACAGTAATGATTTAACCCAATAACCTTTGTCTCCAGCCCCATTCACACCAATGACAATCATGGGATAAATTAAAATATCAAAACAAAACTGACCAAATTACTTAAGCAGCTTGTATGATGCATTGTTTCACAGGTACATTGGATTGTCAAACCTTCATGTTGTAACATTAACAACGTTTCTCAGAAAGCCTCCATTCTAAAGAACTTTGACCCTTCCTTCTGTTTGATCATGTCCTCTGCCAGACTTGCTGGCGCCAGTTCCCAGATAGTGACCTCATTAGTGGCCAGAAGAGTCTACAGAGCTTTTGATCAAGAACCAAACTGCAATTAACTTCCAGGCCTGGCCTCAGAAACAAACAGTTTTTATTTTTTTTTAAACACAACTGCCACTCACTGTCCAGAGGTCACCATTC